ATGATGGTGCCAACTTGGGCCAGTGAAGCAACGTCCTCCACAACTAGACTGAAGAACGAAAAGACAGCAACTTGTCTGTTCCCCTTCCCCCCATTTCCCCAATAAAAATCTTAAAAAAAAAAAAAAAAATTTTGGGCCGGCAGAGTGGCGCGTTGGTTAAGAGCTGGCTTGCGATGCCAGAGGGCCCTGGTTCAGATCCCACATATGAGGGCCAGTGACAGTGCCTGGTGCAGAAATCAAGTATTGAAAAAGAGCGTATGCTAAATTATATGCTTTCCTAAAATCTGTTAAAGAATATAATTCAACCAAGTGAATCTGAAGATCTAATTGGCTTTATTATACAATTCATGAAACATGCTAAGTAGCATCCCACCTAGCAACTAAAAGAGAGCTCTGTTAAGTTGTAGGAAGATTTCTATAGGTGGAAACTGCAATTAGGTTATTAAGTTTTGGTTTGGTGACATGGCTTAGCAAAAGTGACTCCATTTTGGCCTGTTCTTTCTTTTTTTAACAAAGGTTTGATCAAATAGCATCAAACACTAGGTTTACAAGTGTTGCGATCACGATTACATAATCTAAATTTAATTCTATGAAACTTAAAAGTCCAAACTACCTATAAGTGGGGCTTTTGAGGGCATTTAATTACCTCTGATTTGCATTAGTCTTTTTTTTTTTAAGTTTACTGTACTCTGCCATTAATTATTCACACACCCGCATACAAAGATAAAAAAGAGCAGCGTGTGAGGGGGAGGGGGAGATGAATGCTTATTGGTGACCAAAAGTAAGAATTCTAAGAGAAAAGGAAAAACGCAAATCCATGTTTTCAAAGTACCAGTTCAAGTTCCCAACAGGCTCTACTGCAACCCCTAAATTCCCTCAGCATCTAGTGCAAGAATTTTTAAAGCATCAGCATCACTTAGCAGGGTGCCTGACACTAAGCGCCTGCACACACACTACTTTTTTGCCTGTCAGATCTCACCAGGAACAGAAATAAGAACCCACGCAAATTTAGACGGAAAACAAAACTCATTTCTGCAGCGGCCAGCCGGAGTGGACGAACGCTCCACACCCAGGACCCGGGGCTTGACTTCGGCGGGGAGCGCACTCCCCACCACGCCGTAAGCGTGGAGCGCTTCTGCACCCGCCCTGCCATACGCACGCCTTACCTACGCGCCGCGCTGCGCCAGGCCGCCCGCGCACCGACAGCTCGTTCACCGTTGGCTGCAGACTCCCGAGTCTTCATGGCACGCCTCACCTAACTGCCGCCCCGCCCCGCCCCGCTCCGCTCAACGCTGGAAATGGCGTAGCGGAAGGCGGCGCGCGGAAGTGGCGTCACGAGGAGCGTCGTGTTCTCTTCCAACTCTCCTGAAATGTTTTCCGCCCTAAGCTTGTGTGCGCGACTTACGGGAGAAGTTAGTTGTCGGAAGGTGCCGATGGAGTGGTGACCCGTGGGGTTTCCGGAGACGCTACGGCGTGGGCTTGTTACCGGCAACCTTCACAGGGGTGAGGGGGTCTCTAGGGTGCCTGCCCGCCTAGGTCAGCCGGCCCAGGGCAAGCCGGCTACGTGTTTCCGAGAGCCCTCAGGAGTGTAGGGATCTTAGTGGCGCTCCCAGGCGGAAGCCTAACCCGCTGGTGCTCCCGGAAAAGGGTAGCTGCCAGGGCAGCGAGTCCCGCTGGGGCGTGCCCGGGTCTCTGCCAGTCATTATCCAACCACCACTCTTGTGATTGTTTTCCTCTCCTTGTCATTAGGCCTTGCCCAGGTAAGAGGCCCGCCCACCAAGGACATTTTGCCACACGTGAAGCTTTTGAAAATGATTAAGGTCTAATTTACAAAGTACAATTGTTTGAGTTTTGACAAATGCTTAGTCTTGGACCCATCACCAGTCTACATAAAATATTTTGACGACCCCCAAAAGTTCTGTCAGTCCCCTTTTCTGCCAATCTCTTCCCACCCCCAGGCACACAGAAGGTAATGAATAGTTACCAACTGGATACAGTGAGTTCTAAAGTCCAATAACTATTGTAGAGCTCAGTCCAGGTACTACAACAAAGAAACCCGTCATTTAATCCAAAAATACACTGGGAAAAGGGACTGTAATAAAGCAATTCTCATTATGTAGCATGCCAGTTTGTGACCTTACAGCAATTACTGGGAACGTTTCAAGTTTTGTTTCACAACTGCTGGGCCTTTTCACTTTGTTCGTGGGATCCAAACCAACATCCATGGAATTTAAGCCATCTTCATCCTTTAAGAGAGTTAAGTCTCAAATAATATGGCTACTTATACTGGAAAAATTATTTTTGCACATACTCCTTGGGGCTCTATCAGAGACCTAAAACTTCCAACTTGTGTTGACTTAACAACATCGACCAGGTATTTCATCACCAAAAAGGATTTATTTGGGAAAAGGAAAAAAGGGCTGCAACCCAGCACCAGCGCATACAGACCCAGCAAGCTATGTGCACATTCTGGCGTGTGAGCTAAGATGGAGGGTATTTAAGACAGGGAGACAGGAAGTTAGCACCATAGTTTTATGAAAAGGAAGTTAGGACCATAGAGTTCGACTAGGTCTTCTCACTTGTAAAAGGCTCCCTAGGCTAAAGAAACACCGCCCTATAACAATGCCAATCTTACAAAACCCACATAAACTTTGAGTACATCAAAAGCTTCTAAAAAAAAAAATGTTATTTTACTAACAAATGACAAAATAATGAAATACATAGGATTTGTTCTCCTCTGTTCATTGGAGCTCAAATTAGTATAATAACAAATTAAGTTTGGCAAATGAATCCCCCAGAATATCTTGTCACCTGTATTTGGAGTGTCTTTTTAAGGCTGTATCTAGTATATTTATATCTGACTGCTCTAGATTAAAAAAGTAAACACATTTACATGAAAAGGTAGCACTGGCTGTGAATTCCCTAGAATACTTGTAACAGTCATGGCCCAAATGAAGGCACTGTCCTATGATGTTTAAAATTCAAATAACTTTTATTTAAATTGAAAACAATTCTTAAAACTGCATTAATAGTCAAAACTCTGTTATAAAAATCCTAAGGAGTATTTCTATATAAGTCAGAAGTAGTTCTAGGTTAACAAGACCAGATTTGACTTAGGACTTTATCCTTTTAACAAGTTAAAAAGAATGGACAAAAAAAATAGGTTATTTACAGAAAACATTATCTACATATGTACTCAGAGGTACAAATTTGGTGACAGGAGACTTAAGGACAGCTGGAATCTCTGAAGCAGTTCTCAAAGAACTTAGTTTTATTTTCTTGGATTTTAAGACCGCCTAAGATCCTTCTTCATCCTCGATCTTGGGAGCCAGATAGTACTTTAAATGTCCCATATCAGCAATTTTATACTCTACAACTGAAAGACAGGAACATAGTTAATTACTGAGAAGTATCACATACACTACCTACAAAACAAGATTCAACGAATTTATTATCTTACCCAGGGGTACATCTGCAGACATACTGAGTGTTACTGTAGGAGAAAGTGGGGTGGCTTTTGTAAAGAAGTTCAGATATCTCAGTGCAAAGGTTAGCTGAACTGGCTCATTCATCTCTATGGTAACCTATGGGAGAAAACAAAAGGTTCATCATATTGAAAAACATTAAAGTTAACTGCGACCCAGTAGTTCATAATATAAATTAACAACAAGAAACCTTTACTTTGGAGGGTTCTATGAAACTAATTTTGAAGACAGATTAATAAAACAAAAGAAACACGTATTTAGCCTGCCTTTCCCTATATGAACTGAGTCTCAGGTAACCAAGTTATGTGATAAGAGAGCTTCTCTTTATGGAAATATTTCTAATAAATAATCTAGCTTATAAATGAAGAATTAAATAAATATATTACAATTTTGCAAACCCTAATGACTTAATGAATCTAGACAATAATTACTATGGGTGCTATAATCACAAAAAGGCATACAGACATCTTATCTCATCACTCCTACTAGAGGTACACACCACCATCTAATAAGTATTCTTATTCTCCCACCTAAAAACAAAGAAAACATTGTATTATCAAACCTCGACAGCTGTAGCTATCAGTTTATAAGTAACACAGGGTAGAGGAACTTATTGACAATAAGGGATACAATTGGCAAAATCCAGATTGAGCAACTCAACGACAAAAGACCTATTTTCTTCAACAAGTTATAATGGAGAGGCAATAAAGAAACTGATGGATTAAAAGAAATTTTAAGGAGCTTATGAACCAACTGCAATGGAATGTATGGACCTTCTTAAAATTTTGATTCAAACAGTTCTGAAGTGACCAAGGAAATAGGAACACTGAAAAATTCCTTAATATTGAATAATTTTCTTCAATGTGGTAGTTTAGTGTTTATATGTATGAGATATTTTAAAACTCAAAGTTGGCAGGGGAGTGAAATATAATTTAGGAGACAGATAAAAGTTAGAATTAGCCCCTAGGCTTTTGTTATTAATATCTTTTTTTTTTTTTAATTGGGGAACAGTGTGTTTCTCCAAGACCCATAAGCTCCAAGTCGAGTAGTTGTTTCAATCTAGTTGTGGAGGGCACACCTCAGTGGCCCATGTGGGAATCGAACCGGCAACCTTGGTGTTATGAGCACTGTGCCCTGCGCTCTAACCACCTGAGCTAACCGGCTGTCCCTAATATCACTTTTAAAGTTTTTATTTAAACAGTTTTACTTTCATTTAAACTGAAAGTTCACTACTCGTGCAAGGGACATGAAGATAATATCTACTGTAAACTTATAATATTCCAGATACTATGTTAAGCACTTTGAATGTTTCCATATTTAATCCTAATCATCCTGTGAGGTTAGGTCCTTTAATTGTTCTTGCCTTAGTGTTCTCAGGCTACCAAATAAAGTTTTATTTTAGTACATTTACCAAATATAAGTTTATATTCTGAGGATCTAAAAGGAACACTTAAGAAAAACCTTAATTTAAGGAGGGTTCTCTAGGCCCCGTTTTGGGCCTACCACACAGAAAAGTTAATATGAGGATAACATAAAAGCTCATAACAGCTGGATTTTTACCCTCAACTAGATCTTTCTATTGAATTGCTGTCCTATGCTCAATTATTTGATAAAAGAAGAGTAAATACCTCTAGAAAGCTAAAGATTAGACACCTAGGGCCGGCCGAGTGGCGCGATGGTTAAGAACTCGCTTGGGATGCCAGAGGGCCCCGGTTCGGATCCCACATAGGAAGGCCAGTGACACTGCC